CATCGTTAAAACGTACATTAACAAAAAATACGCCCGCAAGCTAGAACCGCACGAAGTCGTAAAATGTAATGAAAGGACTTGGTACCTTCCGCATTTCGCCGTGGCTAACCCACGTAAGCCCGGAAAGTTACGACTTGTCTTCGACGCAGCGGCTACCACTGATGGAGTATCTTTGAACTCACAACTGCTTAAAGGTCCTCAGCAATATCGATCGTTAGTATCGGTCCTATTTCACTTCAGAGAGGGCGCATTTGCGGTTTGCGCCGACATCCAGGAAATGTACCATCAAGTCCTAATCCATCCAGACAGATGTGCTCAGAGATTTTTGTGGTGCGATGCTGAACGCGGGAAGGCGCCGGAGGTCTACGAAATGACTGCGATGACGTTTGGCGCAACATGTTCGCCGTGTGCAGCTCACTACGTGAAACTCAAAAACGCCTTAGAACATCGCTCCCATGATCCGCGAGCCATCAGAGCCATCACCGAATACCACTACGTGGACGATTACGTGGACAGTTTCGATTCTGAAACACAAGCCATACAGATAGCCCACCAAGTCCGAGATATACACAAGGATGCTGGTTTTAATCTGCGAAAGTTTACGTCGAACTCTACAAAGGTCGCCGAATCACTAGGTGGTGTGAAGAGAGCGTTACCAATCTTATCTAAAGAAGGTGCAGAATTTGAGAAGGTCTTGGGAATGTTATGGCAACCGCCGGATGATAGTTTCGCATACCATTTGGAATTTTAAAGAGTCGATTCGTCAGTGATCGAAGGCAAGCGCATTCCCACCAAAAGAGAATTATTGAGCATAGTAGTGTCAATATTGGACCCGTTGGGATTCCTCAGTCACTTTACTATCTCCGCAAAGCTGGTGTTACGCGAGCTCTGGAAGCGAAGTATAGGTTGGGATGAACCAGTTCCCAACGAAGTCAATGCTATGTGGTGCGTCTTTCGTAAGCAATTGCTGAAAGTTGTTGAGTGCAGAGTTCCGCGCCACTATTTTCAAATGGGTCCATCTAGGGAACTACAGCTGCACGTATTTGTAGACGCCAGCGAGAACGCATTCAGCGCAGCAGCCTACTGGAGATCGAAGAATATGAATCGCATCATCGAGGTGTCGCTTGTCTATGCCAAGACTAGGAGCGCACCCATTAAGCCGCTCACCATTCCCCGACTCGAGCTACAAGCAGCTGTGTTAGGAACTCGCATGATGACTACTATAATAAGTGAACATAGCGTTCGAGCCAACCGATGTGTTATGTGGAGCGATTCCAAAACGGTTCTTAAGTGGTTATTTAGTAAACACCGCCGCTATAAACCGTTCGTGGCACACAGGATAGCTGAAATTCTCGACGTCACTAAGCCGTCCGATTGGAGATGGGTTCCGACGAACCAAAACGTGGCTGACGAGGCAACGCGACCCAACAAGGCAATAAATCTCAGTCCTTCGTCCCGCTGGTTCACTGGCCCTGAGTTTCTGTACAACAACGAGCAACTCTGGCCAAAGGACGCTGACGTCGCTAATGAAGCTGAAGATGACGAGGAAGAGATTCGCACAAAATTTGCCTTCATTGTCGTGAGTAGTAATGTTCTAAACTTTAATAGATTTTCTTCATTTACCAGATTAAGAAGAGTAGTTGCCTGGGTGATACGGTTCCTCCACTATTGCCATAGAAGGATCGATTCGTCGCAGACCAACGGGTTGACAGCAGGGGAGCTTGCAGAAGCGGATTATTTACTGTGTCGCTTAGTGCAGCGAGAATCCTACGCCAGAGAACTGAAGCAGATCGAGAGCGGAAATTCTCTGCCCTCCGATAACCGTTTGTGCACATTGTCTCCTTTCATTGATGACAGAGGAATCCTCCGAGTATGATGCCGTCAGTTGGTTGCCATATGAGAGTCGGTGCCCTATAATCCTGCCTCAAAATCACGCCGTTACTAAACTTATCGTTGCGCATGAGCACATCCGGATGATTCACCAAAATATCGAAGCAACGATTTGTGAAATTCGCAGAAAGTACTGGGTTCCTAACTTAAGAAGAGTTTTGCGCGGAATTATCGCAAGCTGTAATACGTGCGTCTTAAAAAACGCGAAACCTGTTCCGCCAATGATGGGTTTATTGCCTGAAGACCGGACGACACCCTACGTTCGACCCTTGACGTTTACGGGCTTGGATTATTTTGGCCCTGTTAGTATAACGATCGGACGTCGAACCGAGAAGCGGTGGGTGGCACTGTTCACGTGCCTGTCAATACGTGCCATTCACCTCGAAGTCGCATATGACCTTTCAACAGACGCTTGCATTTTGGCTATGCGTAATTTTATGAATTGCAGAGGGGTCCCAAAAAGAATTCGTACGGACAATGGTAAGAACTTCGTGGGAGTAGCAGGCGAAGTTGCGCGCTTTGTAGATGTGTTTGACTGTCAGACGTTGCAAGAGGAATTGTCCACTAAAGGGGTAGAATGGGTCTTTAATTGCCCGGAAAACCCATCAGAAGGCGGAGTCTGGGAGCGAATGGTACAATGCGTCAAGAAAGTCTTGCGGCATACAATGAAAGATCTTGCACCGAAGGAGCATACATTCCAAAGTTTGCTCATCGAAGCAGAAAACATTGTGAACTCGCGTCCGCTAACACACTTACCTATCACACCACAGCAAGAAGAACCGCTGACGCCAAATCATTTCTTGCTTGGTTGTGCCAACACTGCTCAGACAACGAGTTGCTCGGAACCACCCGTGAAACTTTGTGCCACCCGCAAGCAGTGGCGAATAGCTAGACAACTTCGAGATCGATTTTGGAAAAGATGGGTTGACGAATATCTACCTACACAAACGCGACGTACGAAGTGGTGCATGCCAACGAAGCCTTTGGGGATTGGCGATTTGGTGTTTATCTGCGATCCTAAATTACCAAGAAGAGAATGGCGACGTGGCCGAGTATTGCGAGTGTTTCCGGGAAAGGACGGCGAGATTCGTCGAGCAGAGGTGACTACGATAACTGGTCTAACTTATCGGCCAGTATCCAAGTTGGCGGTCCTGGATCTGGTTAATGGTGAATCTGATTCGATTCACGGGGGTGGGGGTGTTGCAAATTAAAAGTTTTATGTTTCTTTCTTTATATTTCATCATTTTTCTGTAATAGATTTAGGAAATATTTGTTAGCTGTTAACTCTATATGTTTGCAACTCTTTGCCTTGACGTTTTACTCTCGCCGTTGTTTGTTGGAGCCGTTATTTCGTTACTATAAATCTATAAATTGGCTCATCTCTAGAAACGGGAAACTATTCTACAATTTTCTTTAGCGGCGCAAGTATAGGGAGCGCAAACTGAGAAATAAACGTTTTGTAATAAATTCATATCAATCGATTAAGATAAATAGTTTAAATTTCTAGCTTCCTTTCCATACTGCGTCGCGACAGGCTGTTTCTCAAGTTGAGAAAATGCTAGTTCTCAACTTGAACTCTAATGTAATTCTCCAATTGGTCTCAAACATATCATTGAAATACTGCAATTGAAATAGTAAAATATCGTATACCTTTTTGATTGAAACGACATATATAGATGAATTTAAATATTAATTTTTTATTTTATTATTCCTCTTGTATTATGTAGTTAATCAATATCGTATTACAATAATTCACTACACAGTATACAGTCCGACAGTAATTTTGCCACTTGATTCACTTCGCGTTGTATTTTCTTTCAAGAATATTTGAGGATATTTTGAAGATTATTTACTTCGTTGGTAGTTTTCCCCTTTATATAGCTTTAGTTTTTCACTTGATAATTAAAAATTCGTATCTCTATCACTTTTTACGTATCTGCGCGTGGGTTAGAGATGAGTTGGAGAATGATGTTGGATATCAACTTGAGAACTATGAATTTCTCCAAGGTTGGAGAAATATTTTTTTGGTGTTTATTGGGATATAATCAGCCTCATTGCGTAAGTCGTAAATTAGCATTGTCTACTGTCGTGCTGAAATAAGTAAACGACGAAAATTGTCGAAAACTATGCAGTGCTGCCAAGTTCTTCCGTTTTAATACACTAGTCGAGTGGACATTTTAGGCAATGACGCTAAATTTTCGATACGATTCGATTCTTGAAAAACGACTTGCGTTCGGCACGACTCTCGCAATGAGGCTGAATAAAATTTTACGGGAAATATTTCCGTAGAACATTTTAACCAATTAGCTCCCGCCAAAAATGGTAATTTTAACCCTTACTTCAAGAAATCCCGCAAAGAGAAAATTGATATATTCTAGAAAATTATTCTCCGGAAAATTTTACTAGGGGTCTTCTCAGGAAAAAGCTTCATGCCACCAACGTAAAAGCCTCTAAACATTTAAAATAAAAAATCAACAAAAAAAACTAGTTTAAAAAAAAATTTTAATTTGAGTTCGGAATAACAGTTCCTTCTTGGCAAAAATTTCTTGTCCCGATGCATCACATCGAAAAACATGTATTTTTTTTACTTGCATCCCTAAGACAAATGGAGCGCCACACACAGTGATAGCAAATTTAGTCAGAAAGAAGAAAGTTGAAGAGTTGATTTTTTGGAAATATAGATAAAATTCGATTTTTTCTAGAAAAATTCGATTTTATCCGAATTTTAGCAACACAAAGTTCGATTTCTAAAAACCGCCATTTTGGAGCTAAAATTCGAATATCGAAGCTTCGAATATCATATTTACCCATCCCTAATTAATAGCCCGAACACAATGATAACGACAATAATTCAATAATACAAGGTTCGATAAACTGACAGTTGTCTCTCTCGCACCGCTCCCTTAGCAGTGGCACCGTGTTGCTTCTTTGCAAATTTACAGCCGTATTCTGTTGTCCTCACAAAAATCACCATACTCACTATTGAGAGGTTTCTGACTATTGTGAGGTTATCCCTATGCTAGCGTAAATTTAAAAGCTCATAGGCTCACAATTGTCAGGAAATTTATGATGTACGAATGAGACCCTCACAAGAGAAAAACAGCCGATTTTTATTGAGCAATTGAATAATGTTTTGTTAATTTTCGTTCGCTATCAGTGTCTGTGTTAAGTTTTTTTTTTAACTAAAAGTATATTCAGTAATGGCGGAGTTACTGCTTGTTTTTGCGGCAGTTTCGGAAGAGTTAGAGCAGGCATAGGATTTCATTTCCATACAAACTTTTGCTCCAAGTTGTGGATTGCAAACTGTGTGAAGTACTGGAGCTACTCCTGCTTTGTTATTTCTTTTTAAATTCGCCTAGAAAATAAATAAAATCAGTAATTGTCAAAAAAATAAACAAATTGCAAAAATATTTACTTTCCCTGTTGTTCAGCATCCATCTTTTGTATTTATTTTATTTACGAAACCGCTGTTAGACAGCAAAATGCTTTTCACCTGGTGTGGTGATTTTGTTGAGCTTTTTTCTTGTGAGGTGTGGGCTAGAATAACCTCACAAAATAGACCTCACAAGAAATCTCACAAAGTTTTACTCACAACTCAGTTGTGAGGTTTTATTAGAATAGGGCTGTTACATGGAAACAGTGTAGCTTTGGTGTGAAATAAAAGTATAAGCTTTTGTGCAATATGTTTATTTGTATATGCATATGAAGCATATTTAACTGATGAAAACATAAGCATTGGATGTTTACATCAATCTCATAGTAGTCTTATTTTAATTCACGTAGATATATTAACATTACTTTCAACATTTCGTTTAAAATGCCAGATTTCCTGCAAATACATTAGAATTTACGAAAGGAATTTCAATACTAATTGCCTACTTTGCGTACTTTTCTACTACCATTTTCGCAACAAGGGATTGCATTCTTGCCCTATCTCTGTCCTTCGTAAATGCAACCTTTCGTAAGGGAGTGGCAAACCGCAGCTGTCAATAATTATCTAACCTTGTATTATTGAATCATGGATAACGACGAGCTATGGACCATAGCTGTCAAATTATTTTAACACGTACTCTTATGTAGATAATTATTTTGGCGCCGACCGGGCTACGCGACGACTGTGGTTGTGGCCAGATTAGATCTATTTCTATTTTTCTACCGACAGATAAGGTTCTTATTCTTCTTTTATGTCAAACTCGTACAAATTCATGATGTCGCCGACGCATTCAAAAAAATCATGCCACCATCGACAAAGCGTTTAGACAATGAAGATAACAAATTGTAAGCTGTGGCCCGTAGCTTGTCGTTTTTAATGTTTTCAGAACTTAAGGCGCATTTGACAAATCGGAGGAGAATCCCGGTCAAACACTAACATATTAGGTTTGTTCCACAAGCTACTTGTAGAAAAACTCGAGCAAAGTTCAAACTGTCAGCGTATAACAAATAAACTCTAAAAGTTACGTGTTGAACACGTATGTGTAACTCGAAGTGACTTCGAGTAGCTTGTGGAACAAACTTATTGTGTAACAACACGCAGAGATTGAGGTGTTGTCTTAAAACACCGAGGTCGCGGGTTCAAATTCCACCGCATGCAATCCTAACTATAGGTGCGTTCGTTTAAAATCTCCAGCAGAAACCAACCAACTGCCGAATTCCGGCGAAATGTCATCTGTTCTCTCACAAGAGAGAAATATCCAAAATAGTACGCGAACAGAAAATTTGCAGAAACTTGCAAGTTATACGAACAGCTGATATAATTTTTGTTTACATAGAAAAGTGTAAAATTTAAAACGTACGAAAAGTCATCGCAAAGTGTTATACTGACACAGTTTATTGATTAAACAAATAACTACTTGTTTCTTACAAGTTTAATTAGTCGCATTTTGTAATTTTTATCTTCCAAACCATCAAATTCAATTTTGTGATTTGCGTAAATGCCAACCAGCTATTTTTGATCAACTGTTTTCCAGTTGGCAAATTGCTGTTGGCAAAAATTTTTCCAGCAGAAACCAGCAGCTTCCCCTCAAAATGAAAAGTCAGTTTGCTCTCTCAATTTCCCCTACTTTGCAAGTTTTTTGCGTACTTGTAAGTTTTGGTTAAACATGAACAATTAACAGCTACGCGAACGCTACTTATATTACACATTTCTGCTCTTACGAGCCCAATTTATATCGGGAAGAATTGTTAATAACATTACCCCCGTTATGTGAGTTTATGACATTCGATACGATAGTAGGGTACTGGTACTCGATTCCAAAAAATATCGTTTTAAAACTATCGAGTAGAAAATATCGGTATCGAATGCCACAAGTATCGATATGGTATCGTATCGTATCGAAATTCGTGTCCCTACTAGCAGCTGTCAAAATGGATAAACATAAATTCGCGTCAAATATTTTCAATAGTCAAATACATCGATCAGCTGTTTACTTGCTAGTTTCTGCTAGTTTTGCGTTTGCTATTTCTTTATTTGGGAAATCTTTAGCTATTTGTACAACGATTTTGGGGTAGGGCGGAGGGGTAGGCCGTGGCCCCCCCAAACCCCCCTAAACGAAAGAGGATGAGCGCCGCTTTATGAAAAGTCACCCCTCACCACATTATAACCCTCACTAAGTAGAATTCTCCTTTCCGTTTTGCTAAAGAAGAGGGGATGAACACCTTTTGCAGAGATATTTCGTGGATATTTTTTTTTGACAGCTCAGCTCGAAAACTTCCAAAAAATACCATAATTCCAACCGACATTATTAATAAATTAGTGGGCAGATATAGTAAATTTTATTTTTGTAATAAAGCGTGAACTGTTGTCTTTATTTCGCTCTCTGTGAGCGTAATTCTCTCAATTTCCTCGTTGTTCTTCATCCTGATAATTATCTGCTAGAAAAGAAAAGAAACAAAGCCTATGACTCAATCTTTTGACGCAGGTTGAAAGCTTGTGTATTGGGACTTTTTTTTCGGGGGATTGGGATATTTTTCTTTTCGTTCAAAATGTCAAAAACTTGTATACGTCAATTAAGTTGCGAAATTGCAAAAAGAGAGCGTCGAAATTAAAAAAAGGGGCCGAAGCAAAAACACAAATTTAATACAATAATTGTCCTGATATTTATTTTTGGAAGTGAATATACAAATTCTTAGATCAAACAATTAAAAGTGTTGCACTTGCATGCAAATAGTTCGAAATGTAAGGTACAATTAAGGAAAAAATTAAAGCTTGACTCTTCGTATGTGCATATTTATTTTACGAACTTAAAATTGCTAGCTAAGAATTTGTTCGGACAACGTAAACAAAATTATGTAAATAAAGCTTAGGCTTATCAAATATCTACTCACAAATATCCATACATTTGTATATTTAATAGAAATCAAAGATTTACACCAAGATTTTGGCTGATTTTCCTAAGATATGGTGAGATAAAAAAGCTAACGTTTCCTAAAAGAATGCACAGACATGCATAATAATTAAGTACCTAATAGCCACATTTTTCTAATTTAGAAGTTGAAATTTTTGGTAAAATATATTATGTTGAAGCGGCATGTCGGCCATTCTGTATGTACGGAATGTAAAAGCTGCATATTCATAACAGCAAAATTCCTGTCCAGATGCAATCACGATTTGCAGGTTTTTGCAGGAAGTCGTTCCAGGTGACCACCTTCCATAAGGTTTATTAATGGAGAAACAACTGTTCCTGCAAATCGTGAATATCGTGAAGCATATGGAACGCAACTTAAGATAACTTATAGACATGATGGAAAATGCTTTTTACCATAACATTATTCGTTGCAGATCGAATTAAATGCTGGTTTGTGGAATTTATGTCTTCAGACAGCTGATGATAATTCCCAGCTAATAGCTGGAGCCGATTTTAATTATACTAAAGAGTCATAGCGTCGTTATCAAAATTGGGGTATAATCCTCGACTGGGGAAAGTGTTCTCCAAATTAATTTCCAAACATTTTCTATCGTAGATTCCATTAATTCGATGATATCGTTAGTTTTTCTCTGGTAATTTCTATAAAAATCATCGCCGATGATATCGCTATCTTTTCCAATACTCACCCTCTATCTGGAAGAACGGTTCCATCTAGACTTCAAAGTCTTTATGATACGAAACTTGCACGATAAAGTCAGAAGTGTTACAAAAAAACATAAACTTGCGAAAGATGTTAAATACATTCATACATATTTGCGTTTCCATCGGAAGAAGTATACCGCGAAAAAATAAGAGTCATAGAGCAAATTGGTCTGTTTTTAACCGACTTCGCACAGAGAACAGAGAAATCGATTAATCGGTGACTGTCTGTCCGTCCATCCGTCCGTCTTTGCACACTATAACACGAGTAAAAACTAAGATATCTTAACGAAACTTGGTACTTTTACTTCTTTTAGGCGTAGGACGGATATTATTGAAAATGGGCAAAATCGGACAATAACCACGCCTACCTCCCATATAACGGTAGTTTTCAGAAATAAGAAATTTATATTTTAGGAACTACTGAAGATTATTCACTCAAAATTAATACCTATTTACAAAAAATTTCAGACGAAAAATAAGATTATAAATAATAAATTTTTGGAAAATGGGCGTAGCCACGTCCACTTATGATCAGATATATGTATATCGGTAACCGTTATACCAATTTGTACCTAATTCAGTATGGTTATTGTGCTTGCCACATTAAAGCAAAACGTTGAAAATTATTGAAATCGGATTAAAATTACGGTCACTTTTCTTCAACGGTAAATTTCAGAAATGCTTGAAACTTCGATATTTCTGAATTCAGGCACGCTAATTTACTCATAATTGATACTCGCTTGAAAAGAAGTCACATTATTATGGAATTTTGGCAAATGGGTGTGATACCGCTCAATTATGACTATAGAAGTTTATGTCATTATTTCTAACTGAACGTTCTATCGAAGATGTTTAAAATAGGGGTAAAACCACCCCTGCTTACCATGTAGCGGTAGTTTTCGAAAAGGCAAAAAACATATATTTAATACTTGCGCCGTGTATTTAATGTTCGGCTCTGCCAGAACTTGGACTTTTTATTTTATTTTATTTTTTTTATTGCACCGCATAACTTTGACCCTTCCTAACCGATTTCTATAATTCTTTTTTTAAAGAAAAGGTGTTACCTCACAGTTAACAGATCATGAGTCGGTTTTGTTTTTTGCTTAAAAATTACTTGTTTACATTATATACTGCTTATGTAGGCAGGACACTTTTTTGCAAAAAATTATCTCGCTAGGTGGCGCCAGGGTCTAGGTATTTTGAAAACCTGTATTTATGGTCCGATTTGGTTAAAATTTGGCGTATGTAGTTAAAACATAATGAGTCATAGAGTTCCAAAAAAGTGACCTTGAATTGGCGCTGAAGTCAAAATATAAAGTATATGGGTGTTTCCAGCGGAAGGTCCACCACGACAAAAAAAATAAAAGTTTTATATCTAACGTATTTACGTGCCGTGGCTATGTAAGTAGAATCATGTTTGCATAAAATGGTCTTCCTAGGTGGTGCCAAGGTCGAGATATTTCGAAAAACCGTATTTATGGTCCGATTTGGTTCGAATTTGGCGTATGTGGATGAAACATAATAAATCACAGATTTCTAATAAATTGACCCTGAATTGGCGCTGAAGTCAAAATATT